GCGAAAAAAACATCATTTTGTCTACATTTGCGCGGAAAAAAAAATCATTTTAGTCAAAAACATTGGCGCGGAAAAAAACATCTTTTTGTCTTAAACTTTGCGCGGAAAAAACATCTTTTTGTCTACATTTGCGCGGAAAAAAACATCATTTTGTCTACATTTGCGCGGAAAAAACATCTTTTTGTCTACATTTGCGCGGAAAAAAAACATCTTTTTGTCTACATTTGCGCGGAAAAAACATCATTTTGTCTACATTGCGCGGAAAAAAACAATCTTTTTGTCTACATTTGCGCGGGAAAAAAAACATCAACTTTGTCTACATTTGCGCGGAAAAAACATCATTTTTGTCTACATTTTGCGCGGGAAAAAAAACATCAATTTGCGCGAAAAAGCATCACTTTGTCTACATTTGCGCGAAAAAAAACATCATTTTGTCTACATTTGCGCGGAAAAACATTTTGTCTACATTTGCGCGGAAAAAAAAAACATCATTTTGTCTACAATTTGCGCGTAGGAAAAAAAAACAATCAACTACATTTGCGCGGAAAAAAACATCATTTTGTCTACATTTGCGCGAAAAAAACATCATTTTGTCTACATTTGGAAAAAAAAAAAAAACATAAATTTTGGTCGCGCGAAAAAAAACATCTTTTGTCTACATTGCGCGAAAAAAACATCATTTTGTCTACCATTTTGCGGGAAAAAAAAAACATCATTTTGTCTACATTTGCGCGAAAAAAACATCATTTTGTCTACATTTGTGCGGAAAAAAACATCATTTTGTCTACATTTGCGGGGGAAAAAAAAACATCATTTTGTCTACATTGCGGGGAAAAAAACATCATTTTTTGTCCCACATTTGTGCGGAAAAAAACATCATTTTGTCTACATTTTGCGCGGAAAAAAAAACATCAATTTTGTCTACATTTGCGCGAAAAAAAACATCATTTTGTCTAACATTTGCGCGGAAAAAAAAACATCATTTTGTCTACATTGCGCGAAAAAACATCATTTGGTCTACATTTGCGCGAAAACAAAGATAATTTTGTCTCACATTTTGGCGCGGAAAAAAACATCATTTTTTGTCTACATTTGCGCGAAAACAAAGATAATTTTTGTCTACATTTGCGCGGAAAAAAAACATCATTTTGTCTACATTTGCGCGAAAAAAAACATCATTTTGTCTACATTTGCGCGAAAAAAAACATCATTTTGTCTACATTTGCGCGGAAAAAAAACATCATTTTGTCTACATTTGCGCGGAAAAAAACAACATCATTTTGTCTACATTTGCGCGTTAAAAAAAACATCATTTTGTCTACATTTGCGCGAAAAAAAACATCATTTTGTCTACATTTGCGCAAAAAAACATAATTTTGTCTACATTTGCGCGAAAAAAATCATTTTGTCTACATTTGCGCGGAAAAAACATCATTTGTCTACATTTGCGCGGAAAAAAAAAACATCATTTTGTCTACATTTGCGCGAAAAAAACATCATTTTGTCTACATTTGCGCGGAAAAAAAAAAACAATTTTGTCTACATTTGCGCGAAAAAAACATAATTTTGTCTACATTTGCGCGAAAACAAAGATCGTTTTGTCTACATTTGCGCGGAAAAAAACATAATTTTGTCTACATTTGCGCGGAAAAAAAACATAATTTTGTCTACATTTGCGCGAAAAAAAACATCATTTTGTCTCCATTTGGGAAAAAAAACCCATCAATTTGTCTCCATTGGCGCGGAAATTTGACAATTATTTTATGAATACCTATTATGAAGAGAGTTAATTAATATTGTAAAAGTGGTTATCAATATTGTATTACATTGGCGCGGACGGATCTGCGGACGGAGGGTGAAGCAAGTGCGCGGTCAAAGGTCAAAAGAATTTAATGCGCGGAAAGGTCAAAGGAATTTAAATGCGCGTCAAAGGTCAAAGAAAATTTAATGCGCGGAAAGGTCAAAAGAATTTAATGGCGGCGAAAGGTCAAAAGAATTTGAATGGCGCGGTAAAGGTCAAAAGAATTTAATGCGCGGAAAGGTCAAAAGAATTAAATGTGGCGGACAGGTCAAAAAGAAATTTGACGCGGTCAAGGTCAAAAGAATTTAATGCGCGGAAAGGTCAAAAGAATTTAATGCGCGGAAAGGTCAAAAGAATTTAATGCGCGGTCAAAGGTCAAAAGAATTTAATGCGCGGAAAGGTCAAAGGAATTTAATGCGCGGTCAAAAGGTCAAAGAATTTAATGCGCGGTCAAAGGTCAAAGAATTTAATGCGCGGAAAAGGTCAAAAGAATTTAATGCGCGGAAAGGGTCAAAGGAATTTTATGCGCGGAAAGTGATTTTCAGAAAAGAATTTTGCGTGCGCGGAGAGTCACCCGAGAACTATGCATTCGCGCGGACAGAATTTTGACCAAAGAATTTTCAAACTTTACAGTCTGGGGCATAAGCGGAAAAATAAATAAGATACCCGCCTATTTAAAATTAACACCTCCCTCCCCCN